TTCATGACGAGCACGCATTGCATCAGACATACCCACTGTTTTAAGCTTATCCAGAAGTGCATAATGATCAACTTGATCAAACGCATTCTGAATATCTGTGTAGATGACATCAACTTGTCCCTGACCGTCCAGTACTTCAGAAATGTACTGAGTAATGAGAGCCAAGTTGGTGACCGTAGATCTGCCTCTCATAAACCCATGCTGATTAATAGAGACTGCACCTCTGACCGAGTAGTAAAACCGTTTCATAAGCGATGATCTCAAACAACTTGCTGAAATTGCACCGGATTGCTATTTGGCGATAGTTGGATATTTGTATGAAACATGTCAACGTAAGCTACCAGAATCTGTATCTCACGCTTTGTCATGTTCTGTGGACTTTTACTTCGTGGTTTATTAGTATTATCCAACGTGTCTGCTTGTAACTTGTCCGAACTGTCAAAATTTGGATTGTTTAAAGTCATTATGACAGCCACATGCGCAGAACCTGAATTTGATTTTCTGTGCAGTGCACACACGAGATAGATACGTTATCTGCAGCACCTGAAATTCAATTGCTGCGCACTGAACCACCTCACTTCATTGTCGACATTTCTGGCTTCACCCATACTCCACGAGATTAACCTCCTGTCCATAATCTTCGTGATATAAAACAATGACCACTATTTTTATATTATGCTGTATAACTATATATGATATATAATAATATATAATATTGTATTGCTAGGTCTACCATCATCCACCGATTTCAGTTCTGTTCAGCCGAATGCAAAGTGCATCAAAAAAACTCAATTCAAAATAATACTCGTTGGTTCTGGATCCTGATGCAATGTATACTCGTACGTTTAGCGAAAATAGAGTATTCGAAAAAGGATAATAGAAGGGAGCGTGAAATGGGGTTATAAGAAAGAAATATGAGATAACATTGCCAGAAAATACCTCAGCTGGAGCTGCAGGTAGCAGAATGGAGGTTGCTGAAATAAAGTCGGAAGATTTTTTACCCAGGTAACTACTGTCACGAAACCTGCAGGGTGTAGCTGCTATATAATTTTTTCTGGACTCTGTGACCCAATGTGAAATATACGCTTTCACAACTGCTAGTGGCTAGGAATGCAGAAAAACTTGGAGATGTTGAAAGTAAAACGTGGAAAACAACAATAAATATGAAATAACATATAGGACGTTCTGTAAATCTGGAATCATATGTGAAGCAGTCATTTTCTAGACTAACCTGTCCTTCGATGGTTCCCAACGATTGATTTGTTTTGAACATTCAAAACAGAATGTTCGAAGTAAAAACTTTTTAAGTCAACAGCTAGGTTGTGTGCTGCTCTATCAGCTACGCATAATGGGCAGTATATGCTTCGACGTTTCACATCTTGGATTACCTAATAGTATGTGGGAGTGTGTAGGACATGTGTGCCCTATTCTCATTCTCGTAATCACTACCTGTTCTCTACGTGTCAGATGGGGAAGGTTCCATCTTTTTATGCTTGGTTTGAACGTCTTGATTCGAGAAGTTCCATTCTTCCTGCTATGAGTGGAGGACATTTTGTCCCATAGCATCCTCTAGCCGAAGTGGTACCACCTGTTACATCCAATAAAATTGCTTGGCGTTTTGTCTGATCGGCCAGTTTATGTAACATGTTTAGTTTCTTGATACAACTGGTAATAGAGACTCGTGGTCCTTATGAGGACAGGATTTGTTGAGAACTTGTGTTTGATAGACGAAATGGCACTGAGGGAATCGCTGCAGATTAGGTACTTACCTCCTGCTAAGCCTTTGATATAGTTGAGAGCCTGAAAGATGGCGTAAAGTTCGGCGAAGTATATTTAACATGAAGAGTTCAAACTCCATCCATGACAAAATTCACAACCAACTCCATCGGCAGTCTTCCACCCATCAGTATACATAATCTTGCATGGTTGGTATTTTGAGACGATGTTTAAAAAGGCTTGATTTATAGCTTCGTTACAAATTGTCCTTTTTTTCTATCGGGTCACTTCGGTATCAGTCAAAGGTCAATATCCATGGTGCTAAGTCAGGTCAAATCATCCACGTCTAGCATCTCAATACCTAGGGCTGCTAGTATTTCGTTGACCTGGATGCCAAAGGGGCAAGTGGCGATTGCTCTGTCATGGAAGAGTTCTTCCGTTTCCTCACTAAAAATAATAGAGTTATTGAGATGCTGAGGCTGTGTTGCAATTTTGATTGCATGGTTGAGGCTAAGTTGCTGTATTCTGTATTTCAAAGGTGGTATTTCAGCTTCACAGTATATTGCTAACTGCAGAGCTTGTCCTCAAGGCACCAACACATTGTCTTAGACCATCTCTATGAAGTCTTTCCAGTTTATCAATATGAGACTTACGCGCTGATGCAAAGATTCTTTATTGATGGTAGCTCTCTTTTTTGTGTATGAAAAAAATTATAATTTTGTAGTATTTTCAATTTTAATAGAAACTAACAAAAAATCAGGGTCACCGAATATAATCACTAAATTGCTCCTTGTAGGTTTTGCATGGTGTGCACATTGAGTATTGTAAATTTTGGCGTCAGGCGATTCGGGGCTTATTTAGGGGTGTCCGCAAAGTTGGGACTTTCCTTCACGTGGCATATAGATCTAAAAAATAACCGGTTTTTCTTATGGCAGATACACCGAAGTCCTAAGATAATCGAGATAACGAAAATGACACACTCGCTCAGCAGTGTCGAGAACTTGTTGACATGATTTTAATATATGGTGAGCGTCTTCAAAGTGGCTAGACAAGTGCAAGTCTCCAAGACGCTAAACGCTGCGTGATGATGGATTGTACCCTTGACGCGTAACGGGTGAATAACTTCCCAAATATTCAAGTGCAGTCATTCAGAAATCCTCGCGTAGTCCATCGCTTACACTTCCAACAAACATTTTTTTTGAACGTTTAGGCTGGCATGGTAAATAGTACCTTTGCTCATTAGACATTTTATTTTCCCGAATTGGCTGGATGGTTTACAATACCTAGACTTTCTACATTTCTACATTTGATCAACTTCGGACATGATACCCTGCCTAAACTAAAAGAATATAATATTTAACTCTACATGTATAAAATGTGGCACCTATGACATATCTTTCTCATGTTACGCCACCTCCATGAGTTGTTTGGATGTAAAATATCATTCATTGTTCCCAGTGACCGATTATAGTGGTAGATGGCGCTTCGCACTGGCTTATTTTGATTAGATACTCTTCATAGTGTATAATTATTATTTGTGTCGTTACTGCTATGCATTGTTCAAGAAACCAAACCTAGGCCAGGCTGATGCCAAAAATCACGAAACAGCTGTCCATGCTTGGCTACGTCTGGCTGGACAGACGAAGTCAGCATGTTTAGTAATGCAATACTCGTGCAATGAGGACCAACCCTGTCTCGTAAATCTACCCACACCAGAATTCATGCTGATTGTTAAGCTTCCATGTATTATTATCCTGGCTACAAACGGACTCCACTTTGTGTCTATAACTTGTTCAGGGTCGGCGATGTAAGCGGCAGATATATCCTGAAGGCTGCCTTTCCTAGATGCCTGCCTTGTATATGTTAACTTGCTGAATCCGACATTTGAATAATAGTATAAGCAGCTTCTGACGTGCATTGTGTGGGTTACAGTAGGTTGAGTGAAGCCAATTGAGAAACTTGAAATCGAATTCAGTCAAGGCAGACAGCTTGAAAAATTCCCTCAGTTGCCTTCGGTTTCTCTTCACTGAGATTGCTATTATTCAATCTTTTCTAATCTAATTCTTAGCAGCGAAAACCCTAAGTTGTGTGCTCTCCATGTCTCACATAGGTAAGAGCTCTTAGAAGGGAGCACCGATCAGTAGTAGGAGTATCAATACATTCTTTAATACAGACATTAAGTCGTCAAGATTTCCTAAAATAACATTATTTTTGAACAAAAGTCACATCTCCATATGGAACGTTTCTATTTAAATAAGCATGTTGGGCGACAGGCATCTACATTCGTTTAAATTGTTACGCACTTAGCCAGGCTCAGGTGCAACATTCAATGCGTATGATACCTGAAGATAAAATATATACTATATTCTAACGTCCAAAAATGGATCTAAAAGCGCCATCTTCGAGACAGCAACAGAGCACAAACATGAATCTAAAAATCTACTAAGAAAATATCTAATGTTTGGTTCTGCTACTGGTTGATAGATGGCGCTAG